GGGGGGGGGGGGGGGGGGGGAGGGGATGGAGGGTTCAGGACAAAAGAATTGGGGTTTTGGGAGTTGCTGGGATTGGGTGTGGTGGGGTTTTAGAATAGCTGGGGTTGTTTTAATTTTTTTTAAAGACCTGGACCAAAACGACGTCGTTTTGGCCAGGTCATTTTTAAAAAAAGAAATTCACTGGGCTAAAACGACGTCGTTTTACTAAGCATTTTAACAAAAAATGAAGCAGCGCACTGCTTCTTTTGCTTCCTTGCGCAGCAGCCATTTCGTTCAGGCCAAACAACAAGCAAGTGGAGGGCATCCATAGGGTCGCACAGTTAGCTTAAAGGGACCTTCAAGCTTATTTCCATGGAGTCCATAGGGTCGTTTGATCCCATTGACCCCACTGTGGGTCTGTCCCTGAATATATGGCTTTCTGAGGTCTAATAAGGGCCATAATCGAGCCAAAACATTTTAAAGGATGATACATATAATTTAAGTCCTTTAGATTAAATTTTAATGAGGTGACATGTGGAGAACGAAAATTTATCAAATCATAATAAAAAATCCATGAATGATCACAATTTAAAATGTAAATCGAATGAACCAAAGTGCAACCTCACCCTCAATACATTGTCTAGGGATTCTCAAAGCTCTCTCACAAGTCTCTTTGCAAGAAAAGATCGTCAGTTTTTGCTGCGAGCAAAGTATCCAATACTGAAAATTCCGGCCTTGTGCATGACACGTCTGCCTCTACAGACGAGGACCTTCAAGAGGCTCGGGTGTGTTCTGTTTTCCCTTTTCTTCTTATATATTGGTTTTACTGGTACTATCTTGTTTGTACCCAATTTTGGTAAATAGACCAAAAATGGTTTGCTGCTCAAAAGAATATTTTCATAGGCCCAAGCCCATCACCCTTTTGTTTTTATTTGGGAAAAAAGACTTGTCTATGATCAAAGGACCACCAAGTTAAAAAGAAATTGGTTAAAGCCCACACCTTTTATAAAGCCCAAAAGTCTGAATCTCACTAGGAATTAAAAAGGGATTGGTAACCATTACAAAATTGACCCACATAAGGGACTGAAGAGGGTTTTCACCATTAATGACGACTTGACTCTCCCCACGCACAGCGAATGAGCAAATTGTACTAAAGCCACCAAAACCAAAAAGAACCAAATTGCCAACCAGACTTCCGAGTTTAGAACAGAGGATGATCATAAGAAACCAACGGTCTTGTCAGAAACGTCTCATCATCCCTTTTATAAACCAGTCCGGAATAGTGAACCAGCAGCTGAACCTGAAAAAACCAGGCAGGCAACCTCCATTCAGCAATCATCACCAGAGCCTTCTTCTTGCCTATAAAATAGGAACTTCTGCCTCAGAGGAAGAGGACTCTCTCTCCAAAATCAGACGCAACGTCTAGAAAAATACTTGATGAACTCAAGATCTTTTCAACCCAACCTGCTTAAATCCCAGATAACTAGTTGACCACTCTTGCATTTATCTTTTGTTTGCTCTGCCATCTCCGTGGTATGATTTTCTTTCTAAGAACGATCAATCTGAATTCATGTACTCACTTGGCTGGATAGAGAAATCTCCAGTCTTTCCTTATTTTGTAACTTATAACTTGAATAAATTAAACATGGTGATTGGAAACTTTTATCTATCTTTTGCTATCATGTTTAAATCGGATGAGAAGGATTTGCCAACATTCGCTTTCCTTATTTTGTAACTTATAACTTGAATAAATTAAACATGGTGATCGGAAACTTTTATCTATCTTTTGCTATCATGTTTAAATTGGATGAGAAGGATTTGCCAACATTCGCTTTCCTTATTTTGTAACTTATAACTTGAATAAATTAAACATGGTGATCGGAAACTTTGATCTATCTTTTGCTATCATGTTTAAATCGGATGAGAAGGATTTGCCAACATTCGCTTTAATTGTTTCATCATAGTGTTTATCTTTTCGACTGCGTTTATATGCATGCATGAAATGATTGTTTAAATAGAATTAAGTTAATCCCTTATTCTTGTATTTTTAAGTTATTCGCAGGGCTGCACACGGGTCGGGTTGGGTCGGTTATGGGCCAAAACCATTCACCGAACCAGGACAGGTCGGCAGGCCCAAATGCTAAACCGTACACTTGTTTATTAAGCCCATTTTCGACTTAAATCAATACCCGAATTAGGCGGGTCGGGTTGGTTCATTTCAGTTGTATGCCAAGGCCCAACAAAAGCAACAATTGAAGATTTTTTTTTTAAGTTTTCCAGGCCCATTCTTTTTTTTATAAAAGTTTTCCAGGCCTATTCTGTTTTTCCAGTTTCTCCGGCTTTGCATATCTAAATTTTATCATCATTCAAATACTAAAACCACCCTTAAAACCTAAGAAAATCATCATCCACCACACATGTCCAAATAATCCAATAATTATTACAGACCATAGCAGATTGTGAGAGTAATCTCAATCACAATCTGCATTTTTGCAAAGTTCAAAAGAAAATCCAAATGACAACAAATAAATTTCCATTACACATACACATACAATTCCATGAGTTTCATATTCCTCAAATAAATTTGCACCTCTGCACAAAGAAAAAAAACAGTTAGTAAATATATGAATTAATAACACAAAGAAACTACAAATTGTGGAGGCTGATTGTGGAAGTTGTGATGGTGGTCGTGGGTTAGTTGAAACAGGGGTTTCAGATTCTCCTTCCATTAAATTAATAATACCCTATGAAAATACAAAAATTTAATGCTTCAATAAAACAGCAACAATTTTCAATGGTAATGCAGCTCTTATTCAAACAGCAACAAAAAATATAGCAACCGAAACAGCAACCAAAAATATAAAAATTTACCAGAAATAAACACAGCCAGCAAGCCAATCCTTTTTCCTTAGCCTTCAAATCAATTATGTACAAATAATGATATCATAGGGGAACATTAGTGGAGAACAAAAAATGAACTTTGTTTCAAATGAAAAAGTTTCCATTCTCTTTTTTCATTATTCTAGCAAACATGATTAGTATAGAAGCAGACACACACACACAGAGATAAGGATTATAACCTATGTTAGACAAGACCCCGAGAAATTTTAGCAAACTCGATTAGTATAGCTTGCATCTGAATTTTTTTTGAGATTTTAAATAAAGTAAAATACGTAGCACATAACCAGTACATTAAATGCAATACATAATAAAACTCGGTTGCTGGGCAGTGTCCCCCAAAAAATATCAAATGAAAAGAAAATTGCCAGATAGCAGTTCATTTTATCAGACATTATTCATTACAGTTAACAAACATCTTATAACATAAACCAAAAATTCTTGAACCAGGAAAAACGGAAACATCATGACTTGGACACAGAAAGACAAAAAGTAGAAATGGTTATTGAAGCACAGTAACTTCACTCTTTTTTTCACTTAAATGGAGAGCATTTTTTGGTGAACTTGTTGGGGAAAAGATTGAATCAAAACTATTTACCTCTGCAGTATGGTCCTTCAAAATGTGGTTACAGTGATGGAAAAAAATGATATCAAAACATTTAAACATCACAATATAGATAAGTTACACAAGTAAAACCTACGCAATTTTTTATTTTTATTTTCTATTGTTCCCTTTGTGTTCAGATCAGGAGAGGTTACCCAGTTACAACAAGTAAAGCAATATAAAGAAATCTAGCATCTCAATTTGAATTTGTGTAGGTCCACGTAGTAAAACTTCAAAAATCCCAACTCAAAACTTGCAATTTTGAGGTATTCAAAGTTCATCAGTGGCCAGGGTTATACATTGGTGCCGAATAACATGCAAAGCTAACAGTAGAAGTCCAAAAAATAGTGAAGATGAAAGAGCAACGAAGCAATGAACCTAGATAATTAATTCCAAAATCAATTCTATCCCATAAATAATTACTCAATATTACAATAATTTCTGTCCCAAAATCAATTCTATGATCCTAGATATTACCAGAAATTACAACACCACCAGAAAAAAATCAAACAAAAACAGTGTCAGATCAGAAAAATTACCTACAGCAAGCCAATCGTTTCCTATGATCTCAAAATCAATTCTGTCCACCAAAAAACACAAGAGTTAGATCAGATAAATATAATTAACAAAAAATTGTCAAATCCCTAAATTTTTAGGGTTTACACATATATACCTCAAACTGAGAGAGAGCGAGAGAGACTCAGAAAGAACGGGTGAGAGAAACACAGAGAGACTGAGTGACTGAGAGATCGGGTGAGAAAAATCTGGAAAGAGAGAGAGCGGGTGAGAAAAATCGGCTGAGAGAGAGAGAGAGAGAGAGAAACCGGTTGAGGGAGACGAGAGTGAGTGTTTAAGAGAGAGCGTGAGTGATTGAGAGACAGTGGCTGACAGAGAGCGCGGTAAGAGAGAGAGAGTGAGTGACTGAGAGAGAGCGGCTGAGACAGAGAGAGTGACTGAGAGAGATCGAGTGATAAATCTGGAAGAGAGAGGCAAAAGTGATTGAGAGAGGCAGTGTGAGAGGGAGTCTGAGAGAAGGGAGGAGGCGGAATGAAAAAATCGAATCAAGTTGAAATGTTTTAGGGTTTCGCTTGATCTGGTGTAGCCAAGAGCAGCAAAACCGGCTTAAACTCCACGAATCATAACTTGACACGTGTAATACTTATTATTTTAATAATATAATTTAAATATTCGGTTCGGTCCGGTCCGATTTTCTGTGGTTTTTGGACAAGTAAAACTGGTCCAACCCGATTCAGGGGTGGTTCGGGCGGTTTTTTTTACCGGTTCTTCAATTTTACAGCCTAAAAACTGAACCAAACCACCTTAACCGGTTCGGTCGAATTTTCGATAATAACGTGTAGCCCTAGTTATTCGAACCCAAAAAAGGGTTTTTAGCCCGAAAAGGGCTACCTCTGCCCAAAAGGTGGCAAACTAATCGGGCCCAAATTGGCTTATTAATCCATCTCAAGGTTTATTTGAATTCAAACCAGGTTTTTGAAGCCCAAAAAAGGGTATTATTAACCGTGATCTTGGTTTACACTCGCTTGACTAGGTATTGCTCGTATCTGTCAAGTCCACATACATGCTGATGAAAGCATATTGAAGTCCTCATGATTGAGGCATAGAAAAGAACTCATCCGAGCCAGTACCCTCCTTGGAGCACAATAGCTTGAGCAGAGGTCCAAAGAGAAAGCGCTATCATCACAAAATCAACCTACTACACCACCATCACACCAGGTCTGTTGGACTGGATTAAATTCCAACAGTGGCATGCCTACAAAGTTGCAAGAATCAAGATTGATGAGAGCATGTCAAGCTGATTCAACTTTCAATTTTGCCAGAAGTTGAGCAAACCCTCATTGCGAGCCAAGAAGGATCACCAACCGAGGCATTGGTGTTGGACCGACGACCCCTTCCCTCCATCAAGCAAGCTGATTCCAAAGGAAGCCAGGAGGAGCGTGGAGACGGAAAAAAGGACCAACATATCTGTTTTGGATTTGTATTTGGTGTCGTTTCTCTTTTCGCTGCACCTTTGGCCAATGGCCATGTTTTCTTTGGGGTTTTTGATTTTGTGTAGCATCAACAATTGGCTTTGAATTTGCAGAACCCATTTACCTCTTGGAAAGAATGAAGCAACCAATAAGAAATGAATTATCTTTAAGAATCTGCTGCACCTCATTTCTTGTTGATATTATTATTATATTTAATCATTTTAGTACAAGTTTATCAGAGAGCAACATAAGCTATTACTGGAAATGACATACAAATAATTCATTAATATGAAAAGGAGACATTTAGGAATAAGGATGCTTGGAAGCAATAAGAGGTAAATATGATGTTTTGTTTGACATCCTTACATTGGACCGAAAGTTGTAACTAGAGCATTCATGTTTCGTTGGATGTCAGCAAACCCTTATTTTTTGGCTTTAAAATGGGACCGTCCAACGCATAATAAACATAAGTACTTTAATAGGAAACATACTGTATTCTAACCGTTGGATGAACCTAATGAAAAAGGTTCATAGTACAAGTATTATATTTCGTAGTACCGTTTAGGTTTTCATCTGATGACTTAGAGCATGATATTTTCTTTTTTCATATTGAAGTACTTAACACAAATGCACCTAAATACTATCATATTCTAATAAAAGGTTACTTAGTTTTGGCTTTAGAACTAATGCAGTTTCTAATTATTAAGGATATATCCTAATACATGAAGACCTTGTTGTTGTTTGTTAAGTTTATTGGTTATCAAACATGTCAAATGAAAAAAGAAGATGATTCTATAATTTACTCTTCAAGCTTAATTACTAGTTATTTGAAAATGTACAATATAAATGAATATGTTTTATGTGTTAATATAATTGAAGACATTGCAAGTACCATAGACTTGATCGAGTAAGTGGTAATGCTCGCGTGAACTCATATTGATGACTATTCTCATCCACTTTTATTCGCTATCATATCATACTTTTTTTAGTGAAGTACGCGAACTATATAACTTTGGGATGCAGTTATAATTGTTTAGAATCAAACAGAACATATTGAATTTGTGTGATAATAAGAGTCAGGCTGAGATGGTAGTTGATACTTTTGGACACACAGAGGCACGCATTGGGTCAAATTTGAGGTATTTTCATTAAATTCTTCCATATCATCTTGTAACTGACCTACAGTTCTAATAATCTACAACCTTTTTTGGCTCTTTGGGAGGTATTAGTGGTTTGGTTTCCTACATGTTGGAAACATTGTACTGCTATTACCATAAGGTTTTGCTTTGTTCATATTTAAGATAGAAGAGAACGATAAAGAAATAAAACTATCTCCCAAATATATACCAGTTTAAAAGTATATGTGCTTTTCTGGAAGAATTATGTAAAATTTAGGAGGAACACTTTTTCCAGATAGTTTGCATGGTACTCCATCTCTGTATGGTCGGGTGAGTAAATTAAATAGTACAGGGGAAGGTAGAAAGACACATTGCACTGTATTGTGAATTTTGATACTAAACCAAGCGGTCAGACCCAAGATTTTAGAACTTCCAATGTGACATGCCGCCTCACGTGTGGCCACTGGGCAGGCTAAGCCAAATATGCTAGTTTTAATTATACTGGATGAATGGAGGAGCACATTGGGCCAAATTGTGTCTGACACATTAAGGATATTTTGCTATGAGACCATGTTAAAGATTATCCAACTCAAATTGACAATGAGTTGTGACACCTGAGGTTTTACAAATAGGGATACAGGACGTAGAATACACAATGTGGGACTTTATATTCTCAACACTAGGTATCTTAGAACAACATGAAGCATTGATTCCGTAGATATTATTGCACCATTGTTATTGTAAGTATGGCCAATATATGAATTTGTTTGAATTACCAGAATTAATGCCAAGTGGAAGTTTTCATACTAGAACTAAGCACAGAAGAAACTTCCGAACCTAGCACATGATATAGAAAAAGTTTTCAATAGTTAGTTTGATTTCTCTTGTTATGACTGTTTGAATTCTCCATACACTTTATGAGCTAATACTTAATTGCTGCAAAGAAGTAGATATCTGCTGATTGGAAGGTAGCAAAGGCTTATAGTGACAGTGGATTAATCTATGAAGGGATGATTGAAGGATATAATGCCGGAGCTTTGCTGGTTCGGTTTCATTCTCCAATGGGTTTTCTTCCATTTCCACAGTTGAGCCCATCACATTATCACATTTTTGCAAAGGTATTGATTTCCTTACTTTAGTTGCTCTTCAATTTCTGTTCTTGTTTTGAGACACTTTTTGATTAATTAATTTTTATCGATATCATGTTGTTGATAATATATCCATTGAGACGCATGGTTTGAAATGTGGATGGTTTCGAGAATACTTTTTGCTTTCACTTTAGGGTAAGTTTGGCCAAAGTAATTGTTAGAACGAGCAATGTCTCTCACTCAATGTAGTTCTTCTATGTGTGATGACATAGGAAGTCAACCTTTGTATATGTTGTTGGTACCGTGACTAACCAAGCAACTAGCTGGGCTAAATCAGCCACGTGCCATGCTTTGAGAGGTCATCATCTTAGTCAAATAAGCGTTATCAAGTCACAACTCTGAGTAAGGTAAGGAGTCCCACATTGGAAGACTACAAGCGGTGGAGACTCCCTTTCACCTATAATAAGAGGCCAATCTCTACTTAAAAGGGGGCTTGATCTTTGGATCCTATGGTCTCGAGTCTTGACTTTTGGGTCTTAGGTCTTGACCCTTGGGCCTTGGACTCTTGGGCTTTGTACCTTAGGACTTGGGTCTTCTTCCCTTTATCTTTGGGCCTAATCCCCATGTACAAATGTAAACAAACATTATCATAATGAGAACATCCTTCTCCGTGGACATAGCACATCATTCGGGTGAACCACGTATACGTTGTCTACATGCTTATTTACTTTACTTACGCTGAATGTCACTGACTGCCGAAGGCACATACACATGCTAAAGGCCCACGTCTTCACACATTATCCACCACTCCACATATATCTAAGTTGAACCCCATTTTGGACATCAACATATGTGACATTCAAACGTTTTTCCTAGAGGACATATTTCTCCTCGAAAATAGTCAAACAATTCAGACGAAAGGAGAACCCCTCGGAAATAGTCAAGCAATTCTGACGGAATAAGAAGGCCCTCGGAAATAGTTAAACAGTTCCGACAAAATGAGAAACCCCTCGGAAATAATCATCATATTTCCGTCAAACGTACTTTTGGTCGTTAATGAAGTTGGCGCCAAGTCTTTCCGCCAAATAAATTACATTTCCGACGACAATAGAGACTTTTTCCAAGGGTATTGCTTTTGTCGGAAATAAATTTAATGCCCGTGACATATTTCCAACGGACAATAATTTTTAGTTAGAAAAAACAGTTTTACCGAGGGAATTTCGGGGCCCTCGGAAAATGTTGGTCGGTAATAACTTCTTTTTTTGTAGTGCTCGAACCATTTGTGACTCTTTGGCTTATATCATAAATGAATTTGAAATAATAGAATTTTTATTTGATAAGTAGGTTTGTAAACATAGGCCCAACCTAAAAACTGTTACCTAGGTTTTATGGCCCGATCCTAGCTTGCTCTAATTTTTGTCAGTTAGTTCCTATTATTGTTTTTCACCTTTATTGTTCAACCGGGCTAGCTCTTGTGGCACTTTAGCAATGTGTGTAAGAAAACTCCAAATATCACTTGTTTTTTTTTTTTTCCATCAATCTACAGGGAGTTTCTGTTTTTTATTGCATAAATTTTCTTTACATATATTGATCAATTTCTATTTGAGTTTCCTGATTTACCTTTTAAAAAAAGAAGATATTTTTAAACGTAAACTTGGGTCTCCCTAAAAATTAGGAAACCATATTTTTTATCCTTTTTTTTCCAGAATGTAATTTATGTTTCCTGTTGTTGTACGTGTGTTTTAAGTAACGGTTTTAATTTGATAAATTGTTTAATGCTGTATCTTATCCTTGTTCAATATTCACACACCCTACTTTCATATTTGTGCTAAACTTTAGAGATCAGAAGCTGCAAGTTCAATTTATTCCTTAACGAA